GGTGTCGGAGTCCCTGCTGGTGCTGAGGACCCGGGCGTTGGAGCTGCGGCAGGTGCTGTGGACCCTGGTGTTGGTGCCTCCGCTGGTGCTGAGGACCCGGGCGTTGGAGCTGCTGCTGGTTCTGGTACTGCCACTGGGGGTACAGGTGCTGTCCCTGCTGTGTCTGGAGTCGCCGTGCGCCCTCAGCCGTACTTCGTTCCGCTCCTTCAGCAGGTTCTTGGTCTCTCGCCTCCTCCTGGTCCTCCTCCCTTAGCATGTTCAAAGCCTGTCCCGTCACAGTTACAGTTGCAGCCGGCCTCCCCACTACCTGCTCCTTCTCCTTACACTGGTCCTACTAGCGGTCTTATTGAGCGTCGTGAGTCTGCGTCTCGCCCTGCGTCGCCTGTCCGTCCTGCTAGCGCTAGTGCTTGTAGTTCGCGCCAGTGTCCTCCCCCTGCCCCTGGTACGCACCGGATGTCTCTACGTCCGTCTACTGCTCCTCTGCGTGCCCCTTTGCCTTCTCCTCCTGCGTCCTCTCTTCCTGCTCTTGCCGACCCTGAGTCGGACTCTCTTCGTGCTGCCATTCCTACTGTCACGCGTCGCCTTGCTACTGTTGTCACAGACCCTTCTTTCGAGTCTACTGCTGCGTCTGCTCTCGTTACTGAGCTCGTCGACTTTGCTGCTTGCTGTCGCTTAGACTACGCTGCTAGTCTTGTCACTGAGTCTGAGTCTGTCTGTCCTCCGTCCGTCGGGGGTGAGTGTGCCCTTGGCACGGACGTCCTTGAGGACAGGCAGGAGGAGTTCCAGTGTCTTGCAGCTGCTTCACCTCATCTCGTGTCCGTACTGCTTACCCCTAAGGGAGACCCGGATGCACTTGACATCCCGACTCCGCGCTCTTACGCGGAGGCGATAGAGGGTCCCTACTCCTCTCAGTGGCAGGCAGCTATGGATGCAGAGATGGCTTCCTGGAAGTCCACAGGCACCTACGTTGACGCTGTCCCCCCTCCTGGGGCGAACATCGTCAGTGGCATGTGGATCTTCAGGGTGAAGCGGCCGCCGGGTTCTCCGCCTGTCTTCAAGGCGCGTTACATGGCTCGTGGCTTCAGTCAGCGGCAGGGAGTTGACTACTTTCAGACCTTCTCCCCCACCCCAAAGATGACCACTCTTCGGGTACTGCTGCACGTTGCTGCTCACCGGGACTACGAGCTGCACTCTCTCGACTTCAGCACAGCTTTCGTGCAGGGCAGCCTGCACGAGGAGATCTGGCTGCGCCGCCCACCTGGCTTCACTGGGTCTTTCCCTCCTGGTACCCAGTGGAGTCTCCGGCGTCCAGTCTACGGTCTCCGCCAGGCGCCACGTGAGTGGCACGACGCACTGAGGACTACGCTTGCGGCTCTTGGGTTCGCTCCGTCTACTGCCGACCCGTCGCTGTTTCTGCGCACCGACACCTCTCTACCGCCGTTCTACATCCTCGTGTACGTCGACGACTTGGTCTTTGCCACAGCTGACACTACTGGACTCGCCTACGTGAAGTCCGAGCTGCAGAAGAGACACACGTGCACTGACCTGGGTGAACTGCGCAGCTACCTTGGCTTGCAGATCACCCGGGACAGAGCACGCCGCACCATTACCCTGACTCAGTCACACATGGTGCAGCAGGTCCTTCAGCGCTTCGGCTTCACGTACTCCTCGCCTCAGGCCACTCCTCTGTCTACTCGCCACTCGCTCTTAGCTCTGCCTTCGGATGAGTCCGTAGAGTCGAGTGGCCCGTACCCAGAGCTTGTTGGCTGTCTCATGTACCTGATGACCTGCACACGACCTGACCTTGCATACCCTCTTAGCATTCTTGCACGCTATGTTGCTCCTGGGAGACACCGACCAGAGCACATGGCTGCAGCGAAGAGGGTGTTGCGCTACTTGTGCAGTACGTCGGGCATGGGGCTAGTGCTTGGAGGGCGGAGTCCAGTGGTCCTCACTGGACACGCAGACGCTTCTTGGGCTGACGACCAGGCTACGCAGCGGTCGTCACAGGGTTACACCTTCAGCCTTGGTTCCGGCTCTGTTTCGTGGCGTGCTACTCCCTCGTCTTCTGTTCTTGGCTCCAGTTGTGAGGCTGAGATCTACGCAGGGGCCATGGCTGCTCAGGAGCTTCGCTGGCTCACCTACCTGCTGACCGACCTTGGAGAGCCGCCTCGTTCTCCTCCAGTCCTGTACGTCGACAACAAGGCCATGCTGGCCTTGTGTCGGGAGCAGAGACTGGAGCACAGAACAAAGCACATTGCTCTCCGCTACTTCCTTGCTCGTGAGCTACAGCAGCGTGGTCAGTTGCGACTTGCGTACGTGGCCTCTGAGGCCAACACTGCTGATGTCTTCACCAAGGCACTTCCACCTTGTGATCATCAGCGCTGCTGTACCCAGCTGGGTCTTGTGTCTGTCTTGCCTCACTTGCTCTCCTCTTGACCCTCTTTGTACTGTTACATATATATATCACTGCTCTTGCTTGTTTAGTCTTATATATATATCTGTACTCCTGCATGTGAACTGGCCTTGTGGCCTTGCACTTGTGCTCGGATTGTGTGGTGACGTTGTGATCCACCCTGAGCTTGCTTTGTTTTGCTTTACTTGACTGGTCTTGTGACCCCTAGTTCTCCCCCACTTCGCCTATGGGGGTGTGACAAACATTATATATGTTGTTGTAGTTGTTTAGGCTATAGTGGGTTAGCCTATAGGGGGTACACATTCCTAGGTTTTGATACTTGTACTCATTTCACTCTTAGTTCATTCATTCTTGTTCAACACCAATAGGAGTGTCGTAAATGTTGGCCTAGGTCTCAGAACTCGGGAATCAGCAGGGGCGTTTTTGGGACATCCAACCAACATTAGGAAGGATGAGGCAAATTTTAGCCTTCTTGATCCACGGGTTTTAATTATTGCAGACAAATGTTCACCAGTGTAATTCTGTTGAAGATGTTTTGTAAACAAATATATTATGTAGTTTGAATGTTGTACTGAGGGCGCGTATATCAAATCGAAATGTTGGACCGCATGTCGATACCCACGAATTCCGAACCGCATATATCCGAACCGCGCTCAAAGGTGATTGGCTCGTGACTCGTCCCAAATGTGTCCCCCTAATGTCCTGGAAATGTCCCCGAAAAATACTTTCGAGCCAGTTCATAAGAGTCCTGCGGGACGGTTTCAAGACTCTTTGAAACGTCACCACAGACTTCCCACAGAACACTTTCGGGATGGGGTTGCAAAATGTCCCGAATGTCTCTCGCGGGATACTTTCGGGAAGCTTTTGGGACCTCGGAATCTGGCGATGCTGCCGCCCATCCTCCCTGCCGCCCATCCTCCCTGCCGCCCATCCTCCCTGCCACCCATCCTCCCTGTCGCCCACCCTCCCTGCCGCCCATCCTCCTTGCCGCCCATCCTCCCTATCATTCTCCATATCACACGTAATCCGCCATCACAAAAACCCCTCGTTTTTGAATCGCTTGGAAACGGGTCGAATTGGTTTCGGAAGTTGGGTTGCGTGGGTTGTCCAACTTTTTTCGCCCAACCACCAGCGTAAATGCGTCATTCTCAAATTTCGATCTGCTTTCGCGCATCCGAACCGACTCGCGAGACATTGTGCGCCTCGGCGAAGCGAAATTGGCCCAATTTCGGTCAATGTCAGGTGTACAGTGCTCTTTTGACCAGGTTGAAAAAGTAGTTTCGAGAATGGGGTGCGTTGGTTTCCCGCAAATATTTCTGGGTCACAGAGCCACAGCTTTGCTTGGCGCACGACCAGACGTGGCGATAGGGTGCGTTTGGGCCCTGCAAAAATGATCTCGCATAGGAGTAATTATGGACCAAGATGAGCCTACAGTGTTTCTTTCAAACAAATTTTACATCAAGTCAAAGTTATGTCTTATAATATTGAATGGCTGCTGGTTAAACAATCACATGTGCATGTACATATATAACCTGTAAAGTCATAAGTTGTTATTACATGTAATCTTGCCTCTTAATACAAAACAGGTTTGGTTGCCTATGAAAAAGTACAGATGTGCGTAGGATTTATATCTAATTTAGCAGGTACTTGTTAAGATAGAATGCATTGTCGCTGTGGTAAGACTTGATAATGTGCACCTGGCGCAATATGCTTTCAGTGTCAATCACTGAGTAGCGCGATACCCCAGTTGCCCACCTAAGACGTTTGCACCCTGTTTTTGCATCCTCGCCTGCGTTTGACCAGTACTTCACATATGCCCACTCCTTCGTGCACCCTCTCTCTTTCGTATGGAACAGCAACAAGAGCCTTCCGTACCACTCTGCCTCTGCACCTGTCGCTGTTGTTCCCACGATGGCAACATCAGAGAACCACGGCCTAGAGTGAGACAGCGGGGTTGCTTTCCCGAAATGTGCTACACGGGCGAAACTCGCATCTTCTGCAGCAGGGATGGCAAGTGTTGTGTGAGCCTGCAACCAGTAAGAGACACAAATCAGTACAAAGTAACATTCAGTTACATATGGTATCTGCTTGATGTCACCATTGTCACCACTTATACGAACTTTCGTTGGCCTCAGCTGGCGTCGAAGCAATGCACCCGCAAAGGCTTGGTGTGCCTCGCTGTGGAGCTTCGCCCACTCACGGACAAACCAGTTGGCAATGGGAGTGACGTCATCGGGTTTCACGGGGAAGAAGTAGGACTCCTTCACCATCACCCGAGCTCCATCCTCGATGGCCTGACACGTGTCAGAATAGGCAGAGATTGGAAAAAAATATCAGAATCGCAACAACCAGCAGCAACGAGCACACCATTCTCCCCCTTCCTTTGCTCCCCTCCCTGCCCTGCACTTCCTCTTTCACTGTCCCCTCCCCTGCCTTGAGCTAACTCTTCCCCTGCTACCCACCAAGGACCTGCCGGCAAACTTTCCATGCCACCCAGCCCGAGCTGTCCCGCCAGGCACTCCTACTCACCGCACTCACCATCTCAGCACTCACCCTCCCATCACCGCACTCACCATCTCAGCACTCACCCTCCCATCACCGCACTCACCATCTCAGCACTCACCCTCCCATCACCGCACTCACCATCTCAGCACTCACCCTCCCATCACCGCACTCACCATCTCAGCACTCACCCTCCCATCACCGCACTCACCCTCCCCTCACAGCACTCACCCTCCCATCACCGCACTCACCATCTCAGCACTCACCCTCCCATCACCGCACTCACCATCTCAGCACTCACCCTCCCATCTCAGCACTCACCCTCCCCTCACATCACAACACTCACCATCTCAGCACCTCCCCTCATAGCACTCACCATCTCAGCACCTCCCCTCACAGCACTCACCATCTCAGCACCTCCCCTTACAGCACTCACCATCTCAGCACCTCCCCTCACACCACTCACCATCTCAGCACCTCCCCTCACAGCACTCACCATCTCAGCACCTCCCCTTACAGCACTCACCATCTCAGCACCTCCCCTCACAGCACTCACCATCTCAGCACCTCCCCTCACAGCACTCACCATCTCAGCACCTCCTCTCACAGCACTCACCATCTCAGCACCTCCCCTCACAGCACTCACCATCTCAGCACCTCCTGTGAGAGTACGACGGCTTATGCCAGCTATGCTTGCTTGCCTCTACTTTATCATGCTATTTCTAGCATAGGATAATCATATGCATGCATGAATTGCTTGATTTCCTAGGCTAGGTGCTTTCCTATATTTTATTATAGTTATAGCACCGAGCTAGGTTGCGTGCACCGAATTCTGGCTTTTCGGTTGCCACCGAATTGCCTTCTAATGAATTCGGTAAGGATCTGTTCGGGACGCTTCGCGACCCGCGGAACCTTCGCGTAACACCTGGTTACGGGGCCTTGTGTCGAGCCTATATATAGCCTCGTGTTGTACCCAGGTGAGGACATTCAATTCAATTCAATTCGACTCAATTCTCATTCTCTTTTCTGAACTCGATCCTAGATCCTCACACTTGGTAATCAGAGCGAGTTTACACGCGAGGTCTTCAACCGCTTAGTTCCGGCCTTTAAAAACCGCGGGGGCGACGACGAAAGCGCCGATACGGGTATGTAAAACCAGTTCCGCGCAATTTTTCTAAGTCCCCCTCGATTCGGTTTTCGAACACCCCTCAGATTTACTAGTGGAAAGGTTGGAGTTTCGACCGTTCGATCGAGTTTCATCTCAACGGCCCAGAGAATTTCGCCCAAAAACGTTGGAATTTGGAGCGTCGGATCGATTTTCTCCTCAACGGCCAAGATCGGACGCGAATTTCGCCTAAGGGAGATTTACGCAACCTACAGAATTCGCGCTCGTCGATTCTACAGTCAACTTGACTCGCAGTAAGTCGACCAGCACCTAGAATTCGATTATTTTCGTCGCGCATCTTCCTGTAAATCACCAAATGGAGGACCAAGGCAACAACTACGCGACTACGAGCGACATCGCGAGCCTCCGCACCGATATGGAGCAGACGCAGGCGACGCTTCGTCGACTCGAGGCTTTTCTGACAAGCCAACCAGGGTTCGCCACCGCAGCAGCAGCGACCACAGCGACTACATCACCGACAACTCCAGTAGCAGTGGCGACACCGACATTTCACGGACCAATGGCACCACTGTCGCCGAACCTCGAAGCAGCACGACCGAGGCTCCTGGAGGCGTTCGATCCAAGCGCGAAGGGATCCGACGTCCGGCGATTCGTGGCCACCCTCGAAATTTACTTCGAGGTCATTGGCTGTTCGACCCCGCAACACGACGCAGCAAGGATTCGGCTCGCAGCGACACTGTTACGTGGACCGGCTCTCGAATGGATTTACTACACCGACGTAGCCCGCGGGGAGAAAACGTGGCAGCAGTTTCGGGCAGATTTAATCGAGCGTTTCGAACCAATTAATACAACCTACATGGCGCGGCAGCAGATACACCGACACAAGCAATACAGTAGTGTAACACAGTACACGCAGCAGATGGAGTTACTGTTCAACCGCATCACCGACCAAACCGAAGGCGAAAAAATCTAGGCGTACACCGAAGGATTAAAAATGGAGATTCGGCCGCAGGTGATTGCGGCGAATTACAACAGCTACCGAGACATCGTGCGTGCTGCCGAGCGATACGACGCGCTGACTCGAAGTCAACCCGAAACACGACGCTTCACGCCGAACCGTACATTCGGCACGCAGCGATCGGCACCCCCCACGTTCACCGAACCGATGGATATCGACAAATACGATGCGAAGGAGCAGCCGACAAAATGCGAATTTTGCGGCGCAGCAGGACATCAGTTTTTGTCGTGCTACAAAATGAAGAAAGCACGTGCGGCACTCCGGGACGGAAACAGTGGAGCACCTCCGAAGTCAAAAAACGGGAATCGCCAGTAGCCGCGGATCGACCTGGCGATCGCGTAAAGATCCGAAAAGCAGGAAAAGGCGACGACGTGGCGACTTCGGAGCGAGTGAAAAAAGGAGAAAATGATGGCGCGAATTTAAAACGTCACGACCGGCCGGCATCAGGGGAAATCGCCGAGGCAAATGGAGGTTCCGCGAAAAAAGTGTCAGAATATTATTCTTATGTTCTAGCCTGTAGTGGGGTGCTCTATAGCGAGTACAACCCTTTTAGGGTTTGCTATTTGTATCCCCATTTCTGCTAGTTCATTCCTCTTTCCTCTTTCTTCCTTCTAATTTTGTCATGGTATCAGAGCAGGTCGATCCCCTTGGATCGATCCTGTGGGTGGGTTACCACCTCGCTTCCGCTGCTACTTTTTCCTCCCGCCGTGCGCCCCAAGGCGCGCGGCGGTTTTCTGCCCGCCGTGCGCCCCGAGGCGCGCGGCGGTTCTTTGCCCGCTGTGCGCCCCGAGGCGCGCGGCGGGCTTCTGCCCTACGTCGCGGCCCCGCCCTGCGTCGCGGCCCAGCCCCTCGAAGCGGCCCCGACCGTCGCGGCCCCGCCCCTCGACGCGGCCCCGCCCTACGTCGCGGCCCCGCCCTGCGTCGCGGCCCCGCCCCTCGAAGCGGCCCCGCCCTATGTCACGGCCCCGCCCCGACCGTCGCGGCCCCGCCCCTCGACGCGGCCCCGCCCCTCGACGCGGCCCCGCCCTACGTCGCGGCCCCGCCCTGCGTCGCGGCCCCGCCCCTCGAAGCGGCCCCGCCCTACGTCGCGGCCCCGCCCCTCGTCGCGGCCCCGCCCCGACCGTCGCGGTCCCGCCCCTTGTCGCGGCCCCGCCCTCCAACCAGGCCCGTGGTGGGCCCCTTTCACCACACCGCCCCCCCCCCCCCCCCCCCCCCCCCCCCCCTTCCCCCTGCCATTTCCCGTCGCCCGTCGCGGCTCCTTCGGGGGCCGCAAGCGGCCCCCTCAGGTCGCCTCGACGGACGACCTGAGGGGCGAGCTGTGGGGTGGCGGGTATGGGGGTGGCCGGTGTGCCTTCCTCCCTTGCTCCTCCTCCTCCTTCGTCTCCCACTGCTGCAGCTGTCGCTGAGGGGGGTGGTTGTGTGGGAGACTGGGGTTTAGGGTTTAAGGGGGGGTGCGTGGGAGTAGAGCTAGCGGTGTAGCAGTGGGTGTGTATCAGGGGGGTGGGACTGTTTGCGGGAGGTTGAGCGGAGGCTGCCGGCTTGTCGTCCGCAGCACCTGTAGTCCGGGGCGCTGTCCCGGTAGCCCAGTCGTAGCCAGCTGTGCCAGCCGCCCGTGGGTCCGTTGCCCGTCCGCCACTATTTGAGCCGCGGGGCCTGTTACTCCTGTAGTCCGGGCGCTGTCCGGTAGCCGCTGTGCCAGTCTGCCTCCTGTTGCCCGTGTGTCTGCAGCTTCAGCCGTCGCCTCCTGTCTCCTCTCCCCTCACTCTCCCTCCTCCTCACTTGCCCGTTGTGACTACCACTAGCTTTGCTTATAATTGTGAACTCTAAACTATTTCTTCTTGAACTTGTGCTCAGAATGTGTGGTGACATTGTGATCCACCCTGAGCTTGTTTTGCTTTGCCTGCTGTGCTGATTACACCCCACTTTGGCTATGGGGGTGTGTCAGAATATTATTCTTATGTTCTAGCCTGTAGTGGGGTGCTCTATAGTGAGTACAACCCTTCTAGGGTTTGCTATTTGTATCCCCATTTCTGCTAGTTCATTCCTCTTTCCTCTTTCTTCCTTCTAATTTTGTCAAAAAGACTCTGCACCGACCGGGAAACTCCAACCGAACACCCACGAAAGTAAGAATTCGTTAAAAGTATCCTATAAAGATGCTCTAACGAAGAATATTGCTTCTCGTAGTTTACAAGCCTTCAAAAAAATTTGGGGAGGTCTAGAGGCCAAGAAAAAGCCTTTAGAAATTATTCAGGTACCTGAGAAGTTGGGCAAAGTACTACCGAGCGTAGAAAAGGGTCGTGCGTTCCGTGGAGTTAATATTCTCTCCCCGCAGCACAGTGTTAAGGCTTCCCGTCGCCCACAGGTGAAGCCTACACAGCTGCCAAGCCTCGGAAAAATCCTCCTACCCCCCAGGTGAAGTTGGAAAGCGCTGAGTCAGGTATAGGAAAAAGGGAAGGTATTAAGTTTGATGTACCCTATGATCCTATTAACGAGACCCTCTTTGGCTACTCAGCACAGCAGAAACCACTACTCCTCGAGGTGTTATGCAATGGGCGACGCCTCCAGGCACTGGTGGACAGCGGTGCATCTCACTCGGTGTGTGACCGCGGAGCATTGGAGAAAATTGGAGAGAAGGCGGAAGAGACCCAGTTTTCAGCAACCATGGTGGACGGTACAAAGCTTCCTATCCACGGCGAAGCATCAATGCAACTGCATATAGGTGCGTTGAGGTGGAAGCCGAAGCTACCAGTCACCAACATCAAAGGATTAGATTTTATCTTGGGGCGAGATTTCCTGAAGCAGTTCAACCCCGAGATCGATTGGGTCAACAGCAATGTGTGCATCTACAACAACGGGAAACGAGTGGAGCTGCGAAGCTGGACGGATACAGGGGACGTACCTGAAACAACACTGGCACGGTTCGAACAGACGGTGAACAAGAGTAACACGGGTTACCTAGCACTGGTTATGGCAGCAGCAGAGGAGGAGAAGCCGAGTTCCGAGCTACCTGCAGCAGTGAAAGAGGTCTTGGAGCAGTACAAGGATATAATGCCCGACGACCTACCTGCGGGCGTACCTCCAGCACGCACCCACGAGCACAAGATCGTGGAGGAACCAGGTGCGAAACCCGTCTCACGTGCACCATACCGACTGAGTCCGACTGAACTGACAGACATGAAAAAACAGATAGAGTATCTACTGGACAGACAACTGATCCGCCCATCCACCTCTCCCTACGGTGCACCAGTTCTCTTCACTCCAAAACCAGACGGCAGTCTACGGATGTGCATCGACTACCGCGCACTGAACAAACAGACAGTTAAAAACAAGTACCCCATTCCGCGCATCGACGACTTACTGGACCAACTACGTGGCGCAACAGTCTTCTCGAAGCTGGACCTACGGTCGGGCTACTGGCAGATCAAGATGGCGGACAACTCGATCCACAAGACGGCATTCCGTACCAGATACGGCTCCTATGAATACCTGGTGATGCCGTTCGGAC